TTCTTTTAATCTGCAATGCTCGTAGAGACTTCAAGGATGGATGAGAATATATGGATTCCCGATCAGTTGTAATAAAAAATGGAGAGTAAAAGCTTTAAATTAAATTTTTATTATTATAAAAATATATCCAAATTAAAAGAAAACTTTTATTGAAAAAGTTTTTGATATTCATTAATAAATACCAAAGAAAGGTAAGTTAATTTGATAGGGCATTCACATGACTTAAGAAAACTAAGACTAAAGTGGGATATCACATAAAGACGGATTCTGAATATGTTAAAAAGCTGAAAATTTAAGGGCTTTGCTAAAGAAAGGATATGCTATAGAATCTATTAATTAAAAATATACCTATGCATTTTAGTACCATCAGGCTTATTTAATAATACGAAACAAAGTCTGGGACACGTTTCAATAACTTGATTTAAAGCACTGTCTGAATAATCATGCATAAATAACTGCATTAAGGTTGGAGGCAAGAATTGTTGTTGGCCAATTTCTTTAAACCTCTCAAAAATTCGATTTATTCTATTAACACGAAGGCACTTGAGTTTTTTGCAATTTTTAACCAGAAATAAAAATGCATCAACAGATTCTTCCTGCTAAAAATGAATAATTATGCAAGTATTCGAACCGACTAGATTAACCCACCCAAATTTAATTGACAAAGAAAATTAAATATTTTTAATTAAAAAATCGAACCGGTTGTAGAACTAGACCCAATGAAAGGAGATTAGGCGCTAAAAACTCCTCAATCCGATTTAAGTGCCAAACATCAATCGGTTCCTCCATAGAAAAGTGTGTAAGAGAAGTCAGTGAACGAAAATGGCGGCCGACAAAAGAAGATCTTGGTACTCCATAACAAAGACGGAGACTTTTCAAATACACTGCACAACGAAGAATTATAACATTAAACGCCTTTATCTATAAATGATAGCAAATAATTAAAATCGTATAGATAATAACCATTTTTAATTCAACGTTCCCCGATTCCATATCAAGCCAATTACATGTTTCTTTGGAGAAATTTAAATACTTTATATTACACCACTTTTGACAATCAACAGCAAACAAAGCACAAATAAGTTCAAGCCTAAGTCGACTGGTGTGATTAAAAAACTCGAAAATTGAACACTTTAAAATAATTAATAGATTAAGTTTAAATATATAAAATCCAACCAAAAGTTCTAAAGGCATTTTTGTATTGCTTTGGATCAGCATTAATTCCGATATTAAATTTTGTTTATTTATATTTAAATAAGGCAAGAAGTTGTTGTAACTAAAAGATAAATTTTTCAATAAATTATTTTAAGATATATGTAATTTGATTTAACAAAATGATAAAATAAAAATCATAAAAAATAAGATAATAATTTTAATTAAAAGAAATCAATTAAAAAGGGCAAATAAAATAAAAGAAGTGAGATTTAAGTGAAATTAAGTTTTGTATTATTTTCTTTTTGGTGGCAAAAGTGAGTCAAAAAAGTCCGGAATTGCATCAACTCGATCTTTCGGTTTTTCCACAAAACCACGACTGTTTGTTGTAGTTGAACCAATATTTTTTGAAGGTGTTTTCTTTGCTCTCTGAAAAAATATTAGGTTTAAATAAGTTTTAGTCTTTAATAATTGCCTTGAAAGGATTATTAGCAGGACTGCTATCGAGAAGAAATGAATCTGAAAGTAATGCAGATCCAAGTGCAGAACTAGCAATGCTTGTATTTAACTCTCCTTGTTCATCGTCTTCTCCATCACTGGGAATACTTGAATTTTCAATAATTTGGTAATTATGTTCTTTTTCATTTGTTCCAATAACTGTAAAGCCATCGTCCGCATTTTCTATTGGCTCAACATTTTCATCAATTATTCGCATTTTGCTAATATTCTTCCTTAATAATTTTTGAATTTTTGAAGAAAATAATTTAAATATATACCCAGAATCAACTGGAGAATTACTTGTAGTACTTGTAAAAAGCGAAGACGGAGTTTTTCTTTTAGCCACAAGAATTTTAGAAGGTGCAATTATAGGCGATCGAATTTCATTGATAATGGATGAAGATGAGGGAAGCGACGGATGAATTTTTCTTTTAAATTTTGCCCTCTCATCTTCTTTATTTTTTTCATTTTCAATTGCTTGAAGACGTTCACGTCCAATTGCTGCTACCTAGGAAAATAAAAAAAATTTAATTTCAATAAGAATAATTTAAAAACCTTTTCACTCAAAACAGGTCTTTGGATTTTAGCTGCGTAGTTGCATAGACCTTGAACAATTTTTGAATTAATAGATCTATGAGCAATTTCCACTGCTCGATTCTCTCTATTCATCTAAATACAGAAAAGATATTAAAGAAATAAAACATTTCCAAGAAACCTTGCAAGAAACAGAAAATAATTTCATTAAATTTGCAATATAATTATTTGTTAATTGCTCTGCTTCTACCAAATGTTCTGGTCTAATTAAATCACTTTGTTGATGAATAAATCGTTGCAACTCGATAGTCATCAATTCTGCCTCCAATTTTCCTTTTTCTGAAGTCTAAATTAAAAATATTTTAATTGATAACAAAATCTATTGTTAATTATAATTCTATTCACCGGATTAATAACTGGAATTTTAAGAGGAGTTGTATTTGTTGGCAAAGATGATTTGTTCACTGGTGGATATTTGGAGTTGCGACAATAAAAATAACGAAAATAAGCATTTGGAAGTTCACATAAAGCAATTGGCCAAATATAATCATCGTCTGGATTTTTCAACAGATCCATTCCCAAAAGTACAGGAAACCAAACTCCTTTGGCTTTTAAATAAATTCGAATGTTGCATTCTGAAAAATATTTTTTAGAAAAAGATTTTAGCAATTCAAATTAACCATCATCCATCGAAACTAAATTGCCAAAATTTGTAAAATTAAGCCATTGAAGTTTCGAGTAAAGCGACATAGCCAAAGGTATAGTATATTCTAGAGAAGGTGCACATTCCCCAAATAGTGAATTAACTTCGTATACATTAACTGCAAGCTAAAATTAAAAAATTGTGTAGAAAACTCAAATTCATTTTGTAACCTGATGTTCATAATCATCATCTGTAATGACAAGTACGGCACCGGTAACGTAAGCAACTGCTAACTTGTTTTCGTGTGCACAAATCGTATGAAAATGTCCTAAATAAAAAAAAATATGGAAGAATATGTGATGAAACCTGGAATCGAAAAAACAAAACGTTGCGTGCCGCCAGAAGTGAAAATACGCAAAAATCGAAGATCGGTAGCGATGGCAATAAAATTTTTGCCAATGCAAAGTCCTTCAATCTGTTCGCCTTCATCCATTACTTGAGTCCATTGACGAGCATCGTGATCCCAACTATTTCAATGTAATATAAAAATCATTTAATTAAAAACTCACCAAGTAACGTGATTAACAAACAATACACTCTCCACATTTGAATCTTTCTTTGAAGCCAAGGCAATTATATCAGCACCAATGCTGCCATATACATACTTTGATCTTGAATTGTCCATAATAATTTCATGATGAATACTTGAATCATGAAAGTTTATTTCGATTGAACTTTCGTCGTTGCTGTCGTTTAGACTTTTGATTATTCCAAAAGTATTCCAAGCCTGAAAAAATTTTTTTTTGAGATTTAAATGGCTAAAGTATTTTTCTGAATTAGATTTTTTATATATCTACATATAAATAAACATTCTTGAAATCAATAACTAACCAAAAATCTTCCGCCATCATCAGAAGCAGGTGTTGATCCGATAGAGAATGGTTTAGGTACTCGCATTCCTTTTATTGTTGTACAAGGATCTTTTTGTGTAAGCATATTTGCCAGGTCATTAGTATTGAAAAGTTTTCTTTCGCCAGCTGGAATATCGCTTTGGCCATAACCGAATTGTGACTTAAATTTTATTGAAAATTAAAAATAAATTCTTAATTTTTACCTTTATTAAGCCAAGATCTGTCTCCATTTCTAAAAATAAAAATTATTTAGAATTTACCAAAAAAATGTTTTACCATCAAATTTATCATCATTATCAATTTCAACAAGCTCTCCACGATTATCTTCAGCATTATTTTCAGAAACAACTGAAGAGGGACTTCCAGCTTCAACCATATTGCGTGAATTATTTATTTTTGCATTAACTTTGCCTTGTAGTGAAGTGCAAAACTGTTCGAAACGAGTATCAACAGCATTACAATCCGTCATTGAACAAATATATCCCTCAAATTAATTTAAAGAAATATTTAGAAATTGGAAAAAAACCTCCGAAAATGCGATTAACAACACATCAGAACTTTGAGGATTAAAAGCAATCGAAGTAATAATTCCAATATCTGATTGAATCTTTTTGTAAACATTAATTAATTGAAATTTTGAATCAGAAATTCGTTTCCAGATAACAATAGAGCCCTCAGTCGTCCCAGCAGCTAAAAACGATTCATTGGACGAGTTAAGAGATAAAACAGAAAAATTTTCCTAAAATCAAAATTAAAAATAAGGAGTAAAAATAAACAAACATAATCAACATCTGGATGTGTAAGCAATGTCTTTCTATCCCATGTCAAACAATCAACAACAATAATTCCACCTCTTCCGGGAATAAATAAATATTTGCATTGAGGATCCCATACACATTGAATTCGAGGGCATTGAATTCTGAAATTAACGAGAAGGAAAAATATTAAAACAATTTTAGTTTGAAAAATACCCTTATAAATTAAACTTAAAAAATATTTGGTGATTGCTAAATCACAATCGAGCAACAAAAATTGAATTAAAATAATAAAAAATAGCCTACTTTGCTATAGAGAATTCATTACAAGCCTTAAACTTGGCAATCGGTTTCTTGGAAGTTTGTTGATTTTTTTGAATTGGACGAATATGGACATTCCCATCAGATGTCGAAACGGCAAAATACTCTCCACTTGGACTTATTGAAATGTTTAAAATTGCAGCTTTAAATTGTCAATATTTTATTTCAAACGATTTAAATAAATACCTTCAAATTCATAACGTTCAATGGATGACTGGCCTGAGGTAGTATCCAATCGGACAGATTTAACCATAAAATCACTTAAATCTCAATTTAAAATAATTTATACAAAATTAAAACAAACCCTGAACCTGCAATTAAATAAATTCCATTCGTTGCCAAAGCAGTCACTTCAAGAGAAAATGATAAAAATGCATGAGAAGGAAGAAACGATGAAAGACCATAACGAACAACAACTTGCTGATCAACGCCAGTAATTACATCTTGACTTGTTTGGGCCAAATAGACATCTTCTCCCTATATAAAATTTAATAGAAAATGAAAAATAGATTGAAATGAATTAGTGTGAAATGAAAAACTCGGAGAAAAAAATTCACAGAGAAACGGATAAACTTATAGTTATAAAAATAAAAAGATACAAAAACAGCCAAAGCGCCGTGACATCTATCAGCTGTGTTTCTTATGTCCACATCGAGTGAACCTCGTTCATTACACGTCCACAAACCAAATGTATCATCAGAGCTGCAACAATAAATCTAAAAAGAAAATTAAACCAAATCTAATGTTATTTCTAGTTTATACATTTTTTTGATCAGTTTGACTTTGATCTACAGCAAGAGTGAGTCGACCATTTGCATGAATCCGTTTTGAACGAGTAATTACCATCCTTTAAAAATCTAGTTGTAATTAAAAGATAATTGTAAATGAATACAATTAGAATGTTAAATATATTTTTGATTAATTTAAAATAATTAATTATAACAGAAAAATTAAATTTATTGTTAGCATATTTATTTTCACAAATCATAAAATTGAAATGTACAAATATATATAAATGGATTGGACATAAAAACAAGAATAATTAAGTAAAGTCCAATCCCCATTATTATCAATTTTTGAGTGAATGATTATTTTATAAGTACACTGAAAAAAAATATTTAAAATTGAGATAAATCATCACAGGGAAGGCTCCTTTCTAAAGGCACAAGTAATTTTATTGCAAACGTCCCGAATCTGTTGTTTGCTTCCTTTCGCCCCCAAGCCAAGTAAATCAAGTGGTTTTTCGTCGTGGCTAAAATTAAAAAAGTTGAAAAAACAGAAATAAAATAGTTAAATTCAAAACATTAAGGCAGGGAAAGGCGTCAAGAGCAATTGCTAGTAACTTTAAAGGTTTTTAAAAGAATTAATACACCCCAACTATATACTTATATTCTTCCTTTAGAAAGTACATTTGTTAAAAAAATCGAACAAAAATATTTGAAAAATTAGAAAAAAATTTGGACAACCCAGGAGAATTGTGGTCCCTGCGAAAAAAAAAGTTTAAAAATAAGAAAAAGGTTTTTTCTAGGGTAAAAAATTATGCTGATTAAGAATCTGAACTCAGATTTTGAAAAAGTCGAATCCTGAACACGAATATATGCCCTCGAATATCGAAAAACCATAGGGGGGACCAAGCTGATTTTGGGGTGAAAAATTGGAATATGCAAATTATACCTCACTCGAAAGAGCTCTTCAAGCTGAGTCGAATGACACCAAAATCACCGTGATTGAACAAGATCGGACGAAGTTATACCACAAAAAACAAACAACGTAGGCCAGGCCCGTAGCCAGGGGGGGGGGTGAGGGGGGGAATTCCCCCCCCCCCCCCCCCCGAAATGGGAAAAAGGAAAAAATTTGGGGAAGGGCTGGGGCAAAAAAAGTGAATTTTTTGGCCTACGGCCTCTGAAATTTAAAAAATTTTCGCCTGCGGCGCTAAAAAAGGAAGAAATCTGGCTTCTTGAGGTCCAAAATTCAAAAAATTTTCGCCTGCGGCGCTGAAAATCAAATTTTTGGCGCCTGCGGCGCCGAAAAAGTGAATTTTTTTGGCCTACGGCCTTCTAAAATTCTCAAAATTTTCGCCTGCGGCGCTGAAAATAAAAATTTTTGGCGCCTTCGGCGCCAAAAATTTGGCGCAGAAAAATTTTTCCCCCTTTCCCCCCCCCCCCCCGAAAAAAAATCCTGGCTACGGGCCTGACGTAGGCCTATGTTTTTTGTGTCATAACTTCGCCTGATCTTGATCAATTGTGATGATTTTGATGTCATTCGACTCTGCTCGTCGAGCTCTTTCGAATGAGATATTATTTGGCCAATTTGCGCTCTGTTTATTATACGAAATTTTCCCAAAAATGTCAAATGTTCGAATTTCGGGTTCGAATTTGATTTTTTCAAAATCTGAGTTCAGATTCGTGATCAGCATATTTTTTTACCCTAGAAAACCCCTTTTTCTTATTTTTAAACTTTTTTTTCGCAGGGACCACAATTCTCCTAGATTGCCAAAATTTGCAAACTTGTTTATCGGCTCTCGTTTACAAACACGAAAATTCAATAAAGCATCAACTATTTCAAAATTGGCCATTTTACATGCATAATGTAAAGGTGTGTAATTCTGCAATTTATCTGGTGTGTTCAACATAGCATCTAATAAATTTGCAGAACGTTCAATAACACAAGTATCGGTAGAATAGGCATTTGTAAGCCAAGCTTTGTCGCAAATGAAAGTAAGAATTTTTTGCACCTAATAATGTTAAAAATAATTTTTAGACTTTTAAATGAGCATACCGCCACAAAATTAGAGGCACGACAGGCAACATGTAAAGCATTATAACGATTACCAATTTGTATTATTGTCGGCTAAAATTCAAAACTTATATTTTTTAAAAATAAAAATTTTATTTAAAGTCTAAACCAAATCATTAGAAGTATTGACAAGAAAACGGGGACTCTCACTCAGTAATTCATCAAATTTAGCATGATCCCCCTTCTCAATTGCCACTCTAAAATCTGTCAGTCTTCTCGCAGGAATCTCTTTGTAAGGCAAATCTTGTTCTATACTAGAGCTAGATGAATTGTTGTCTTCCGTGCAAGTGCTGGCAGAGAGTTGTTCATTATAAAAACTATCAAAATCATTTTCATCTTGGCACCGTTTAAAGCGTGTTCCTAAAAAAACAAAATTTATTTAAACCAAATTTAAATCAAAACCTTTTCTTTTCCCAACTGGAGAATCCAAAAACGATTTTAATTCGTTAAAGTTGTGAAAAGCATAACGTTCAGGCGAGTCTGGAACAAAAGCCGCAAAAATTTTAGAATTGGTCCGTTTAATCTAAAAATGTGAGAGCAAATAATTTTTAAAGAAATTTTTTTAAACCTTTGGAGTTACAAAAGTTGGAGGTAAAACAGATTCAAGCTGTGATTTAGGTTTTTCTGGTGATCCTTGTTCGCCTTGAGAACAATTTGATGCATTTGAATTAGGATCCAAAGCGTTTAAATTTTCCGAATCAGTAATAGTTGGTTGAGGTAAAGAAGTACTCCAATATCTTGATAGATAATTTCCCATCTTTTAAAGTTAATTAAATCTAAAAGCAACTGAAAAAAAATTAGTTGCGAGTAGAAAAAAACAAAAGAAGAAACAAAATGAATCAAAAATTCATGACATTTTGATAAACGACGTTTTAAAAACGATGTTTTGTACTAAACACAGGGTGAAAAGCGACTTTTAAGTAAACGACAAAACGACACAGACAATATGGTCTGCGACTTTGGTCTTGTTGAATTAATATCGTTTTTTATTTTTTCCGTTTATTCTCTTAAGATTTTCCGTTTACAAGGATAATTTACAACTTTTATTTTTAATTTCCAATGTTGTCAGCAACTGGAATTTTAAGGAGAATATCTTTCCCATCTTTTGCTTCAACATGTGAGTGTTTTTAATTTTAATAAAACTTCAAATACATTTTTAGATTCAACTACAATGGAGGAAATGGATGAAATACGTGCTAGAAGGTAAACCAAAATTAATCCTCAGTTCGTACTTTTTTTATTTTTAGTTTACTCAAACACACTTATGTTTACAATCCACCAGATGAACTTGATAATATTATTGTAAACGCAGCAAAACATCACGGACTTCAATTAGATCCTTCTGATTGGAAAACCACTGAAATACCTTTAGATAGCATAAAATCAAAGGTTTTAAAAATTAATATTTTATTTAAATTTTTTAGTTTCTTCTTGATCTCGGGCGTTCTCTTAAACATCTTGTTCCAAATTCTAAGCTTCATAAAATGAAAAGTCTACGTGATTTATTCGAATTTTATGAACAGCCAGTCAATAATATTACAAAATACGCGGAGCTCGCGAGGAATGAGAAATTGCCTCAAAATCTTGCAATAATGGGTAAAATTTATTTACTCTGATTATTAAAAATATTTTTAGAACAACCGAGGCGTTTTCATCCAAATGACAAAACTGCTTTACATGGGGGAATAACTGCAAAACCGGGTGAAGGAGGAGCTATTTATTCAATAAGAAATAAAAGGATCTATCGAGAATTTAAACCAAAAAAGGAATGGTTCGACTATGATGATCAAAATTTTGATTATGACGTTACTTTATCGAAAGGTTTTTAATTTTTCTAATTTTAATTGAAGTCCAGAATTAGCTATCATTTTTGGGAATATAATATACTCGGCGAACAGGGGCGTAGCCAGGGCTCGATTTCATGGGGGGGGGGGGCTTCAGCCCCCACTGGCAACGCTCTTCTTGTCGAATAGAGATGAAGGAACTCTTAAAACCGAACACAATAATTCATTAAAATTTTCAGGAATGCCTTGGGATCCTGAAATTGCAAATAAAATGGATTGCTACACAAATATCAAATTTACAAAGGAATATTTGCGCAAAATGAGATAAATTTTAAGTTTTTCACAGTTATATTAGATTTATTAAAATAAAAAATGGAATGTTAAAAATGAAAATTTCTGTTTAAAAAATAGAGGGGTTTAATCCGAATTTTTATCAGTGTTGGCACTTTCTGTGCTTTTACTTCTTTCCTTTCCTCTCTTCTCACCAAAAGTAATTTGAACGTTGGCATTATCAAAATACGTTTCGCGACTATCTTCTTTAAGTACCAATGCATATCCTCGTTCATATAATTGAAATCTTCGAGCCAAGGTCATCTAAAATTTTAGAAAAAGTTAATTGCAGTAACCCTCCCCGGATGGTCAAAAAAATGAATAATTTACAAAAGTTCTGACGTGCCAGAGAGAGTTGCTCTAACTTATAAAGAAATTAAATACCTTTTTCTGTTGGATGAATTCCTCAGCTGCACGATCACCATCCTTCCCATAAGAAGCAAAATTTTTTTGAATAGCCTAAAAATGGAAGATTATTTTTAATAAGAAAAATCTAGATATATTAGAAACATTTTAAAATACTATAGGGCATAAAAATCCTAAAGGTTTTCTGCCTAAACAGAAACTAACAATCAAGCTAAAACAAAGCCCTAGTCAAACCAGATTTAAATAAAATTTAAGAAGCCAAACCTCCATTCCCTTAATCGGAATAATTGTGAACGACCTCTGGCATGATTGGCCTTCTTCCATCCTTGTTAATTGACCTTTTTGTTAATATTAGTAAAAAAATGAAAAAATTTTAATTAATATTAATTAATATTGCAAAATTAATATTGCCGTTGAAAAATTCTTTAAAAAAGAAAATTTTATTTAAATATAGAAAGTAAAGAAAAATCACAAATAGATAACTAAAAAACAGGTTTCAACCAAGACCATTATCTTCGAAAAATCCTTGTGTAGTCTCCTCCTAAATTAAAAAAAATAATTGATTGGTGGATCACCCACAACGTTAGCGATAATTTTTTTCGTTCTAGACATTCATAATTTTTAAATTTTTCAGAGCTCACGTCTGTGAGCTCAATTGAATAAGAATGGCTTATTGTTAGAAATGAATATAAGAGCTCAATCCCCTCTATTATACCTATTTTTCAATATTTAAAACTAACGTCTTGCAAAAGATCCTGAGCACTGATTGCCTTCAAAACTTGCTTTTTACTTGTTTCCTGAACTTCTCCAGCCAGCAAAAATTCGTCCAATATAAAATAGGCCTTTTCAAAGTTGAATATTATATCTAGTTCACAAACCTTTAAATTATTTTATAAACAATAAAATTCAAAACAAACATACACTTCCAAAATATCGATCCAATAATTCAACATAACGATGAATAATTTCCAAACAAATAAGCTCATTGTCTGATTGCTCAATTGTACAGCAAAAATATAGAGAAGCATATCTTTATTATTTTTAAGGCAAATTAAAATAACCAATTAATATACCTTTTGTAAACAACTTTTAAATCTTTATATTCCAAAAACGCACACATCTTCGGCTTCCTCGCTAAAATAGTTGTGACCAATTCACGTGTGATTTTCTTTTTAACCTATTTTAAGTTTAATATGTTAAAAATTAAGAGTTAAAAACAAACCTTATCAGGATATGCTACATACCATTTCTGTAAACGAAGTTTACCTTGTCTGGAAAACAGTAACATATAATGTATCATGTTTAGTTGAAAAAATTTTTCTGTAAAAATTTTAAGAAATATGCAAATTAACATAATAGAAGTATAAAAACGAAAATATTACAATTAAAAATTATATTCTTCAAATGAAAATTTTAGAATTTTATTTAGATTTGGCAAAAAATCATAACGATGTTCATTAAAAATAATTACAATAAATCCCCGTAATTGTAGAATTTTAGTTTTTTATGTTCCCAAAATAAATTTTGGAGATTTGAGTCGGGACGGGTTTGAGGTTCATTTAAAATCGATATTTCGAAAAAAAACCTCGATAACCGAGATTTTTGAAGCGTCTTATGTAAGTACTATTACCCCATCCCGCCTATATTTTTGGGCATGGCTTATTATTAACGATAGCAAAATGAAATATTAAATTTATATTAGGAAAATATTTAAAATAGAAATCTCATTAGTATTTTAAGACAATAAAAGTCAAAAATTAATTATTATGTATCATAAATATTATATAGTTTTTAAATCCGTTAACTTTGTAAGATTTCCTTGCTCCTTGATTTTAAGGCATTTATTAACCAATTGACACTCTTTTTTACACCGGCATTTTGTTTTGCCTTAAAAAACATCTTTTTCACAATCATAAAAAGCTCTCCTTAACAAAATTATTTATCAGACTTACAGAAATTGAGAAAATAGCCACATCTCCTTGCAAAACTTCTCCCAAACGGCTGTCAATTTCTGATTTTAGTATTACAGCCGTCATTGGCGTCGATAAAGGAATTGTTGACGAAAAAGAAGACGAACCATAATCACTATTTTGTTCCCAATCTCCATTAATTCCTTCGGTGTTGTCTAATTCAAAACTTCTCCATCCGCCAGAAGTTGACTGAAATGTTGTTTGTTGAAAATCATCTTTGCTTATATCACTTGAATTTTCATTATCTTTAACTACATAATCTTCTTTATATCCATTTATTTGTAAAGGAGACATTTCATTATCACATTTATTTAAAAGGACGAGGAAAGGTTGTTTTTGTACATTTGAATTTGACAAAATTTGTTCTACAAGAAAAATTGAAAAAATTTTTAAATCAATTTAAATAAACCTAAACACGAAATAGCTTCACTGGAGCGTTGACTATCGACAGAATCTACTACAAAAATAGTGGCATGACATTCTTTTATATAATCATCCCAAATATATCTGAGATCTGCTTGGCCACCCAAATCACATAAATTCAAAATAAATTCGTTTAAGACAATTTTGGAGTCTAAAAGTAGAAATGAAAATTTAAAAAAGAATAAAGTCAGACGATTCAATCCAACAGTGCTAGTGATCTTGTGTAAATCGCGTTCTTTATGCCTATTGTCTAGTAACCTCTTGACCATTTCTAAGTAGGTCTGAAAAATAAAAAGAGAAAATTATTTTAAAATATTAAAAATGTTTTACTTATGGATGCGTAGATAAGTTTATGTTGTGGTCCTAACCCATATCTAACATAAGGTTAATTAACGGTTACAAAGATTACAATTTATGGGAGGTCAGTGTTGAAAAGTTATAATTTATTTTCTATTATACGGCCAACGGAGGACCGAACGATTTTATACATAGACGGACCTAAAGGGGCCGAAAGTTCTGTGAAATATCATGCTGGCAAAAATATAATTCACTAACCGTTTTTCCAGCTCCGTCTAGACCTAAGATTGTTATAAAATATTCTTCACGCTTTGAAATTTCTTCATAAACACCCTTAACCAATGCAAACATACTCTAAATTTTTATTTAAGATATTAAATTTTAAACAAAAAACAATGAAGAATAGACAACTTCTAAAGAAAAATATTTAGAAATTCAAAAAAAAATTTATTTAGAAAATGTTATTATAAACCCTTTTTCTCTATATTTTTGGCTAATTCTTCATTATAATTTCTATATTCTGGTTTAAGCTCCCACATTGATTTATGAGGTGCACTGTCATGGTAAAGACCAATGTCATTTAACTTTAAAATATAAATTTTATTTTTGTCAAAATAAACAAAAAAAAACTAACCACATCTCGCACCATACCCGCTGGTTGATTTGTCAATTTTTGGAGATCAATTTGCCTGAAAAATAAACGAGAATTTTAATTTGTAAGAAAGTCTTTCTTTAAAAAAGTGTCTCCTCCATTTTTAAATTTATAGTAGTTCAAGATAAGAAAGTCTCCCTAGACACATTCACAACAAGTGAAAGATATAAAACCGGCAAAAATTTCCGAGGAAAAAATTTATGGTTGTAGCTTTTGAAGTAAATTGAAGCAATTTACAAACCTATAAAACTGATGTTTCTCAAATGCATGAAAAAGTAATTTTACAACATCATCCTTCTCCAACCGAACAGCTCGTGTTCCTTCTTTTTTAGCTTTATCTTTAGCTATATGTTCTTGGTGAGCATTTATTGGTTTGTATTTAACAACAGCCCGTTCAACTTGTTGTACAGTCTTTTTCGGTTGACTAATCTTTTGTATTTGTTGAATCTTCATTTTCATATAATCAACAGAATTTGGTGGTTGACATTCAGCACGAATAACAATCTGAAAAAATATTTTTGAAATTATCTTGTAAATAATGAACGGAAAAAAATTCAAAAATTTAAAGGAGATTTGGCAAAAATGTATAAATTTGTAAAAAATATTTAAAAGTGGAAGGAAGAATCCAATTTGCTTCCAAAGATATTATTGACATATACCTAATTATTACAAATTAACTGAATCTGGAAATAGAATTTCTTTTCCATCCGCTTCCATTTTATAATGAAAAAATGTCAAAAAAATTCCTTACCCTTCCCTCAATGCTTAATTTTCCAGTTACTAAATCAGAATCTTCCTCTAAACCAGATTTGTCTTCAGAGAGAACAGCGAAGGATTGATTCTTCACATCTCTGCAAAAAAACAATATTTTCGTTTAAAAATATTCCAAAAACCTCGTAATAAATTTGTGTTGTTGAGGAATATCCATAATTTTGGAGTCAGTAGATTTTTGATTTGCTTTATTTTGTGATGAATTAAATACCGATTGCTTGTCTGAAGATACTTCAGTAATATTGCTATGAAAAATTGTTTCTCCACCAACTTGATGAACTAATCTGCCAACAACTTCCCCAGCCCTCTTCTCCCAAACTTCAGAAAGATAACGAGGCACTTTAACTAACCATATACCCCTCGAGGCTTTTTCTGTACTAACAGGAGGAACAGGATCAGATGCTGAACGTTTAGTTGCCATTTAAAAAAAAACTAAAAAATGATAGAAAAATATAAACAAACCAAGAAAAGGTAAATATTGAATATTACAAATTAATAAAATAAAGCTAAATTACAATTAAAATTTTTTCCAAATAATTAACATGTCAAAAATTTAACATTTTTATTATAAATTATTAAGTAACAATCAGCGTTTCAAAAGCCGATTCCCACAGAAAAGAGTAAGCGATCCGATAAGTGCAAGCCATTTGAGGGTTTCAAACATGTCTAAAAAATAAATCGTTAAAAAATTCCCAGAAAATTATTGTAAAAATATAAACAGTTCCCCAAGAATAATAATAATAAAGCGAATTAAAGCAAAAAATACCTGTATCAGAACGAAGCCAATGAGAAGCATAAAGACCAAATATAGCAGACAGACCAGTATGGAAGCCTGAAATGTTAAATTGTTTTAGTATAAAAATTAAATAAAAAAATCTGAAAAAACCTAGAGTCCAAGGAAATTTCATGTTGCCAAAGTTAAAGCCGACACGGAACCACTGAAAATAAATTATTGAAAATTTCTACAATATTTTTAAAAAATAAATAAAAACTAAAAATCATTTTAGGTAATTATTAAAATTAAAAATAAACCAAGAAAAGCAAAATTAACAAAGGAGCAGCACATATAGCTGAGAAGACATCAGAAACGATAACAGGAGGGCGAGAATCACTCACTTGAAATTGGTGCTGAATTTCAGGCAATTTTTCGTAATTAAATTTCATTTTAAATGTCTGAAAAACGTTTAAAATGTTGTATAAAAAAGTAGAGTGTATATAATTTACTCAGAAATAGTTTAAAAAAATATCCGATCCCAGCTGATCATAAAAAAAATTCAGCCACGCGCGAATTCCAAAAATAAATACAAAGTGCCAAAAAACTTTAATCTGCCAAAAAAGTTTATTTAAAAATATTTACTATTTCGCTGTTTCTCTAATTCTTTTCCTCTTTATTTGAGTCTGAGTGCTATTAGAGTCTTCATCAAGTTGGTTAAAGATCTGGTACTTTTTCTCTATGATATGATTGACACGTTGATTAGTTCATTTTTGTAGTTGCTTTAGAAAGTTTATATTTTAATTTCTTAGTTATGTTCGCCTGTATTGTATGTTGGTTATTGTACTTTCAATCTTCATTTGCGCAAATTGAACAACCTCAAATATTAAGACGATTCGAATACAAACACTCATTTAGAACACCACATCTTGCTCAAAGAGATGGAACGATTCCATTTTGGACAGTTACTGGTGATGCCATTGCAAGTGGTGAACAACTTAGACTTGCACCTTCAATGAGAAGCAAGAAAGGACTTGTAAGTTTTTTCTCAATTTTAACACAAGTTTATAAATAAATTTAGGCTTGGAATAAACGGCAATTTGTGGCAAGTGATCACTTTGAACTTGAAATTGTTTTTAAAGTAACAGGGCAAGGACGTATAGGTGCTGATGGATTGGCAATATGGTATCCTTCAATTTTTTTTGTAAATTAGTATTTTAATTTTAGGTATACAGCACAACAGGGAACTATAGGACCGGTCTTTGGTGCTAACGATTTCTGGACTGGTATGGGAATTATGCTGGATTCTTTTGATAATGATGGTGGAAAAAATAATCCTTCAATTTCTTTAATGATAAATGATGGTATTTTTAAATATTCTTTTAAGTATTTTTTAAAAATCTTTCTAGGAACTCGTTCGTTTGATCATCACACAGACGGCTCTTCTCAGGTTTTAGGATGTAAGTTTATAATATTTACCCTCCTATTTAAGTTTCGAGATTAATCCTTCCTTTTTTATTGAAAAGATTAGTAAAAATTAATTGACATTTTTTTATATTTAGCTTGTCATAAAGATTTTCGTAACAAACAATTTCCTGTTCATCTAAAAGTCATTTACCTTCGAAATGTTTTCACTGTGCTGGTTTCTGATGGAGTTGTGCCTACACCACGATATGAGCTTTGTATTCGTGCTGAAAATGTTTTTCTTCCAAAAGCCGGATTTTTTGGCGTTTCTGCTGCTACTGGTGGATTGGCCGGTTAATTTTAGTATTTTATGAATGGCAACGATTTACAAAAATTTAGACGATCATGACATTCTGGACTTTTCAACCTTCGCAATCTTTACGGATCCTGCTCAATTAGAACATGCCAAACAACAATTAGCGCAAGAAGAGAAAGCGAGAGCTGAAGCAGAATTTGAACGCCAACAAGCCGAATTCCAAAAAGAACGTGAGAAATATAAAGAACAACACCCAGAGAAGGCGAAAGCTGCTGACCAAGATGATGCTTCTAAATATTATGAGGATGCTCAAATGCGAGAATTACGGCAAATATATGAAGCTCAAGCTCAAATTTATAAGGTGATGCAAACAATGGAGCAAAAGTTGACTGATATTTCCAAACAACAAGTAGTTCATACAAGTCTTTTACAAGGAGGGGCTGCTGTCCCACAGGCCGGTCAACAACAAGCAACTGGTTTGTTATTTAGCTTTTAAACATTTTGGAAAATTTTTTCATAGTAATAAGCATAAAACATTTCCATTTCTAAGTTGATCTTCGTTGAAGATTTCAGCCCACGGGTCCACTAATTTAATATTTATATTTACAGCTACAGGCGGATTTTTGGCTCATGAGAAGAACGAATTAATACAAGTTGTCCGTGAAGTAAGTGCCTCATTGCGAGATATGAAGCACTACGTGAATGGTTTGTTTTTATTTAATGTCTTTTTAATGTCTAATTTTAATAGAAATCTATACGCGTACATACAACGTTGAACAGAAAATTCAGCATGGAGTTCCTACAGGCGGTGCTGCTACAGTGATGGTGAGATTATAATTGTTAAACCAAATACCTCTTTCTTCGACAAATGAAAAGTCTAAAATGAATATT